CCCTGGGGTGGGAAAAACCAGGAGTAGTCTCAGAGAAGCAACCAGCAGCCCAGGGCCCCTCCCAGGAGGAGGCTTCTGCAGCGCCCACTGCTGTGAGCTCACGCCCAGACTGACTCATTTGCCCTAACCCCTGCGCCGTTCACTGTCCAGCACCCACATACAGTTGTTCTTCACCAGCGCCAGATCCAGCTATGAGCCAAAGGGCGGAGCTGCCCAGCAGGCAGGCACCTGAATGCCAGCGGGTTGCCTCAGCCTTACTGGCCCCACCTAAGTGCGCACTCTGGTCCCCTCCTTCCTGCAGTGTCCACAGGACAGAACAGCTGGGTGAGCCCCTGGCTCCCCCGTCTTCACAGTGACACACATCTTGCCCGTCATGACCAACCCAGGCCAGCGTCTGCTCAGAAGAGCCTGCATTGAGAGCTCGAAGGAAGCCATAAGCCCTGCCCCCAGCGCTGGCACCTCAGGCCCTAGACTGGCTCGGGGTAGGAACCCGACAAAGGTTCCAGTCCCCACAGACATGGGGGCTGCCCGACTCCCCGGCTCCCCAGTCCCTGTGATGTCCTCAGCAGTGCGAGTCTTGGGGTCTGGCCCTGTTCAAAGGTGGGCTCATCAGCACTCTAAAATTCACCCACCAAGGTTCACTTAGGACCACACAGAGATTGTGTGCCCCCAGGTTGGTAAGGGCAGCAGCAGTAACGCCCATGCCTAAATGCATTCCTAGAATGCTTTCAGATGCCTTGGCTTTATCGTTGAAATCATACAGTGTCCTTTTTAATTAAAAAATATTTTAGTCCCTGACTCTTCTGAAGTACAATTGAGGTTCCAGTAAACCTCAAGATGTTAAGTACTCTGGTAAACCCCACTTTGAGAAGCCTATCCTCATGGTTCCCCCTGCCCCACTCCTAAATGAGTCATGAGAGCATAGCCGCCAGCAGGGTCAGTGTCCACTGCTCATGCTTGGGGAATGCGTGCCCACTCGCGTTATCTAAACCCTCATCTTGCAAATGACTGTCTCGTTCTGACATCACGTCTTATGACTGCCTGTTTTATGTCCTGCAGCAGGATTTACGTCATTTGGGTGATGAATAATTCTTGCAAGCAGCTGCCCCATGCATCATAGGCTGTTTGGCATCATCCCTGTCCTTGTCCCTAGATTCCGGTGGCACTGTCTTCCACAGTGACAGCCAAACATGTATTCCGACACTGTAGATGTTGGGGTTCGGGGAGGACAGGAGGAAGGGGAGTGGTGCTGGGAAGCTGCCCTGCCCTGGGCACCACTGCCGTGGGGGTCCTGTGGCTGCCATCTACACCGGCATACCTCCAACACCGCATACTCTGGCCTGCTCCAGCTGGTAGGCTGCAGCTCCATCTTCAAGATAAAGCTCTCCGTGAAGCCTTTGACAGCTGCCTTCCTAAACTGGGTTGCATCTCACTTTTGCTTCTAAGTGTCAAAGAATTAGTCACAGAATAAACATGCGAGAGCTGTTATTATATGGATGCTTCAAAAATTTCCCGAAAATTAGAATCCAAAAATAAGCTTCAGGACAGGTAATTTGGCCCAGTGAAACTGTTTCACAAATCAGAGTGCCTGAGGCTCATCCTGGGCTCCAGCCTCTGTCTCTCCCTCTTTTTTTAAGATTTCTTTTTATTGCAAAGGCACATATACAGAGAGGAAGATGTGCTGTCCAATGAATCACTCCCCAAGTGACCGCAACAGCCAGAGCTGCACCAATCCAAAGCTAGGAGTCCAGAGCCTCTTCTGGGTCTCCCACGCGTGTGCAGGATCTCAAGGCTTTGGGCCATCCTTGACTGCTTTCCCAGGCCACAAGCAGGGAGCTGGATGGGAAGTGGAGCTGCGGGGATTAGAACTAGCAGCCATGTGGGATCCTGGCACATACAAGGCAAGGACTTAGCTGCTAACCTACTGCCCAGCCTGTGTCTCCTGTGTCCTGCTGTTGCAGACCCTGGGAAGGAGCAGTGACGGGTTAGGTAGTTGGGTCCCTGCTGTGCATGTGCTGGGAGTGCTGCTTTGAGTTCCCTCCAGGCTTTGGCCTCACCTAGCCCTAGTAGCTATTGCAAATACTTGTGGAATGAACCAGCAGATGGGGGAGTTTTCTTTGTCTCCCTCTCTCTTGCTCTGCCTCTCCAATTTAAAAATATATCTATTTTGGTGCAAAAAGATTTTGAAATGCATATACTCTAGGTCCTCTACAAAGTTCATGGCAAACGTGTACTATAAAAAACGATGCATGGAAAAAAGTTCATTCCACTAAAATAAGCTTTTAATTCCATTTCCCGTGAACATTTTGAAGTATGTTCATCTATGCAAATCATTGTGCTAGGTTTTAAGCATTATAGCAATGAGATACACTTTTTTTCTCATCCTGCTTACAATCTAGCTTATGTGATAAATTCCATTTACAGTTCTAGTATAGGAGGCTGTAAGTTCCTGTACAGGGACCACGTATTGGGCCTTTATTCATGCAGTTGAAGCAGCAGATTTGGTCCTCTGTGTAGCTCCTTTTCCATTACCTTAAATTGAGGCTCTCTTCCTTGTAAATACAAGCTCTTGCCAGTTTCCAAGTTAGACATTTCCTTCCAGTTGTCCCCTTCAAATTCCTTCTTTCATAAATACAGCAGCATGAGATGCTCAGGTCAGCTGTGCCGCCCTGCTAATGCGGTCCCTGCCTCCTGCTGAGTATTCTGCAAGACAAGTGTCTATAACACCCGTGGGGTCTGGCTCTTCTGGCCACCTCCTTCCTTAATCTCCCCAACCCTAACCCTAACCCTAATCTCTCCAACGGCTCTCAGAAGAGGAGCTGTGGCAGACCCTGGAGACTGGCTCCTGCTGTCTGCTCTGCAGGATTCCCTCTTCCACTGAGTAACTCATCCCTGGAAACCGAGGGCAGGAATAGAAGCCTCCAGGGAACCTCAGCTGAGCCAGTGGCCAGATGAGGCTGTGGCTTCCTGTTCTGTATTCTGCAGCGCAGGTGTTGCTGGTTCTCAGATGACAGCAGCTACGGCTAGGCCAACAGTGAAGATCCCAGGTCTCCTACACTGGGGGAGGGACCCATGGACTTGAGCCTGCTGCCCAGCAGAGTGTGCATCAGCAGAAAGCTGGATTGGAAACATCTTTTATCTGCTGGTTCACTCCCCCAAAAATGGCTCTAAGAGCCAGGACTGGCCAGGCTGAAGTCAGACACTCCATCAAGAGTCTTCCACTAGAGTGGCAGGAGCCTACTCCTTATTGAATCATCTACTGCTTCCTAGGCACATTAGCAGGGAGCTTAGTTCGGATGTTGAGCAGCCAAGACTTGAACTGGCAGTCTGATAGGAATGCAGGTACCCTAAGCTGTGATTGGACCACAGGTGACTCAAGTGCTGCATCAAATGCATGCTCAGTGTGACTTCTGAGATTTCAGGAGTGTTAGTGGGTCTGCCTTCAAGATTTATTTATTTTCATTGGAAAGGCAAATTTGCATAGAGAAGAGACAGAGTAAGATCTTCCATCTGCTCTTTCATTTCCCAAATAGCCACACAGCTGGAGCTAAGCTGATTTGAAGCCAGGAACCAGGAGCTTCTTCCAGGTTTCCCACGCGGGTATGGGGTCCCAAAGCTTTGGATCGTCTTCCACTTTTTTCCCAGGCCACAAGTAGGGAGCTGGGTGGGAAACGGGGCTGCCAGGACATGAACCGGTGCTCATATGGGATCCTGGTGTGTGCAAGGCAAGGATTTAGCCACTGGGCCATTACGCTACTCCCTGCCTTCCCTGTTCTGCAGAACAGGAATTATGTCTTACTTATTTTTGTATCCCATGTGTCTGATCCAGTAGCTGACATGTGGCAGTCCTGGATGTTGTTTGATAAGTGGCTACGTCAATGAAAAGTTTAGTAACAGGAGTTTTTATTTAAAGTAAACATTTTTTTTTTAGATTTTTTTTTTTATTTTTTCATTGGAAAGGCGGATATACAGAGAGGAGAGACAGAGAGGAAGATCTTCCGTCCAATGATTCACTCCCCAAGTGAGCGCAACGAGCCGATACTATGCCGATCCGAAGCCAGGAACCTCTTCCGGGTCTCCCACGCGGGTGCAGGTTCCCAAAGCTTTGGGCCGTCCTCGACTGCTTTCCCAGGCCACAGGCAGGGAGCTGGAAGGGAAGCGGGGCTGCCGGGATTAGAACCGGCGCCCATATGGGATCCCGGGCGTGCAAGGCGAGGACCTTTAACCACTTGCGCCACCGCGCCGGGCCCGTAAAGTAAACATTTTACCTGTGAGGTGGGTGCCAGGTTTGTGAGCCCTGGCAGTGGGGGATCTAGCAGGGATTGGGTCACCTGACCTGGTCCTGGCGCCAGCCTGTGAGGTGGGTGCTGTGTTCATGAGCCACAGGGCTGGGGGGTCGGGTGAGGCTTTGGATGCCTGGCCCGGGACCTTGGGCTTACCTGCAAGACCATGACCAACTTAGTGAAAAAGGTAGTGCAGTGGACACAGGCCCTGTTGTAAAAGGAGAATATGGCAGCTCATTTGGTGTCATAGGAGAATAGAACAAACTGGACAACTACCCTAGTCAAATGATGACAGCAAAAAAATCTTGGCAGATGGAGACTTGAGACTTGCTGTGTCATCCAGTAGACATTGGGAGGGTGACATCTCTTGGATCAGTGAAATAGACGGCATTTCAGAACTGTCCAAACCACTTGGGCAGAACCCTCGGAATATGTACACTTGAGACTCTGGGTTGATATGAGGTGGCAGTTCCTCGTCCTTGGCTAGTGGGACATTGGGAAAGTCATGTGTGGCTTCCCCCTTTGTCTCTCTCTTCTTTTCCAAGAAGAAATAGCAGAATTGGAGACAATGAATTCACCCAATTTTCCCTAAACCTCAATTCTTCCCACCTTGATCAACCATGTAATCATTATAAAAATTAAAATTAAAAAAGAAAAAACAAACATTTCAAATAGACTCTTAATGATTAATCACTCATTTATTTTTTTTCTCCACAGATATTGGTATCAACTTGACAGATCCTATGTTCAGAGGAATTTATAGGGGAGTTCAAAAGCACCAAGGTAAATGTTTCTGCCTCCAGGAAATCTTAAAAAGCATAATCCGCTCTTACAATGGAAATGATGAAGCACTCATTGTACATTGAAAACTCATTACAAACTGAAACGCATATAAACTATAGTGGTAAGCCATGACCGTGAATATTTATACAGCACAAAGTTTTAATTACGCCTCCTTTTTTTTTGAGGTTTAGTTTTGAATATAGAAATTTAGTTAACCATGTGCACAAAAGCCAAATAATTGTTGCTGTTTAGTCTGTTAAGCAGTTGAAACGCAAGGCATATAAAACAGAAATCAGTTACTTAGGGTGAGTATATCTAGCTTTAGCAGGTGACAGTATGGCATGACTGCAGAGGAGGTACCTGCGTGCTTCATCCCGCCTTTGTCCCTTTGCATCCATCTCGGAGGAGCTAGCAGCTGCATAGGTGGGAATAGCTGGTAACACGTCAGAGATTGGTGGGAAGCCTTGCCAAGAGCAAAACCACTCCTATTTGTCATACAAGTTCATTCCAAAAGCCACTTTGTCTGTTGAGAGGTGCCTTAAGCAGAAAATGACAGCAACAACTTTTTTGAAAGCAGAATTCCTACAGTAAGACAATTTGAACATTGCTTCAGAAAAGTGACTATACCATGTACATGCAAATAGGAAAATTAGGTTTTGTGCTTACGGATGAAGTAGCATCGTCGTGCTTCAACAGGTTAAGTCAGAAGGTGATCTTACTGTGCTTCCAGATGGTGGGAGGTGGAACGTTTCCCAGTAGGGAATGTTAGATAGCACTTGAAGGTAAATGTTAGCTAAATCTTAACCTTTACCTCAAGACATACCTTTTCTGCTGCGTGTAGATGCCTACACAGCATATTTTATGTGTCATTTAGCCATGTTGGAGGGTACTGAGTAAATTCCACCATATTCTCTTTGTAGCATTTAATGGATATCATACCTGGTGCCTGTTATACATACTCTGCTGTTTCTGTTTGTGCTCATTTTGTGTGTGCTTTTCAATATAATAAATTTCTTTTTTATGATGTTTACATAGTTAAGAACGAGGCATGCTTAAGCCAGAGTGGGTGTGGGTAGGTTGGGCTTTGCCACAGCATCAGCTGGCAGATGTTGGCACGGGAAAAAATTCTGTCAAGTTAAACTGCAGAAGCACCTGAAAAGTTTAAGATCTGGGAGTTGGGCCCAGTAGGGAAGCAGTGGGCACCTCCCTCTTGGGTTGCCACTCCAGCTGGTAAGCATGAGAACCAGGAAAAGGGCAAGCATGGTTAGACAGAGAGTGGCACCTGCTGGCAGGTGTGTGGGCTGGGTAGTAGGATTGATTGGGTTGAACTAAGTTTCAATGCCCATTAACATGTATGAGAGCTGAATGTGATGTGGGACAGACTGGACCAGTCTGTTGTACATACTGGTGGGCCTGATAGAGGTCATTGCAGGCAGATCCCACTAGGCTGTAGCTTCCACTGGTTAGCATGAGGGCAGAATATGTGGTGGGCAAGATCGGGCTGTGCTGCAACACCCATTACTTTGCGTAGAAGACAGGGCTGAAGACAACTGACCCAGCAATTGCATGTGTTAAGCCGATTGGGGCAACAGACTGTGTTGAACCCTGTACTGGCAAGCACACACAGAATTAGGTTTGGGATCACCTCAGATGATTTCTCGGATTTCTTTGGGGATCCCCTCAACGAAATCACTGGACTCAGAACCCCAGTAATTGCAAAAACATGGAAGCAACCAAAATGCCCATCAGCAGAAGATTGGATAAGAAAGCTTTGGTTCATCTACTCCATGGAATACTACTCAGCTATTAAAAAAAAACAAAATGCAGTTCTTTGTGGCTAAATGGGCCCAACTGGAAACTATAATGCTAAGGGAAATGAGCAAATCCCAAAAGGTTAGATACCACATGTTTGCCTTAATTTAACCTGTAATTTTTGTTTGGTTGTTTGTTATTTTTTGAACCTGTCATTGATACTGTCTCAACCCAGATGTTTTGAAGAATTGAACTTGCATTATTTTTGACATATTGTTTGCTCAATACTACATCAATTAATTCCATAACGTTGTATATTGATGCTGATGTTTTGTTGGGGCTTTTAACTGACCGGAACTTTACTCTGTTAGCTCTACCTTCAGACCAGAGAAGGTCTCCCCAAGCGGCCACTGAACTTATCTGGACAATAAGATGCTAGACTTTATGCTAGGTATAGGCTTGCAATGAAGGAATCTCAACTGAACTTGAACTGTGGTTATGCAGCAAGGTGGAGGAATCCACTATGGGGGGAGGGGTGGGGGGGGTGGAGGGAATCCCCAGTGCCTATAAAACTGTATCACATAAAAAAAAAAGAACCCCAACTGTGGAGGGAATTGCAGGTTCCGTGGTCTGACCGTGGAGTGCATGTGTGAGAGCTGAGCCTCCTCAGTGGCTTAGATGGAGCAGTGGACAGCATATCCAGGTGCACATGGAGGATATGGCAGTACATTGGAGTCTGCAGAGGACACCTGATACCATAACAGAACAGAGGACAGAACAAATTGATCAACTACCCCAAGTGTTGGCAGCTAATATCTGGGCAAATGGGGACTCTAAGGTGGACTGTGTAATTCAGAACTTTGAACTATCAGAACCTCTTGAACAGGACCCTCAGAGCATGCCCCACATCGGGGACCCTGGGATGGCATTGGGTGGCTGTCCTCCATCCCAGGGTATGGAGGCGGTCTGGGAGGCTGGGCTTCTCTTGTATCCCCCTTTCCCCCAATTACAGGAAAGAAGAGAATGTGGAAATGACGATCTCACCCACCTTCTTGTAGCCCCTGACTCTTATCACCCTAGTCAAGTGTATAAAAATCATCAAAAATAAAAATAATTATTTTTTTAAAGATTTTTAAAATTTTTATTTACTTATTTATTTTGCAAAGTCAGATAAATAGACAGGAGGAGAGACAGAGAGGAAGATCTATTTTCCGTCCGATGATTCACTCCCCAAGTGACTGCAATGGCAGGTGCTGTGCCAATCTGAAGCCAGGAGCCAGGAACTTCCTCAAAGTCTCTCACGTGGGTGCAGGGTCCCAAGGCTTTGGGCCATCCTCAACTGCTTTCCCAGGCCACAAAGCAGGGAGCTGAATGGGAAGTGGAGCTGCCGGGATTAGAACCGGCGCCCATATGGGATCCTGGCACTTTCAAGGTGAGAACTTTAGCTGCTAGGCCACTGTGCTGGACCCAAAATAATTATTTTTTAAAAACAAAATGAGGCATACCCATGTGAACCATCAGTTAGGGTGGGCAGGATTAACGCATGGGGGAAAGTGGATGAGACAGCTATTTCCAATCTCCTTTTGTCTTCCTGTATCTGGACAAAGCGGAGAAGAGAAGGGCAGAGAGCCACTCATAGCAGCCCAACCGCATCAGTGCCCAGGAATGGGGAACGGCTACCTGATGTCATCCCAGTGTCCCCGATGTGGAGCATGTTCCAAGGATACTGCTTCAGTGGTTTTGGTAGTTCTGAGATGCTACTGATTTCTTTGCTTCAAGGCTGAAGAAATCCTTCCAAGGTCCGTGGGCTGACATAGTCCACCTCAGAGTCTCCACTCACCCAGATACTTGTTGTCAAAGCTTGGCCAGGAGAGCTATCCAATTTGTTCTGCCCTTCATGGTGCTAGATGTCCTCTGAAGGCTTCAATGAACTGGTTGTCTTGTACCCCACCCCATCCTGGCTCCTGCACAAGCCATTGTGGTATGGTTTGGCTAGGCCCTGCCTGGTCTGTGCCCCAAGACCCCAACCCACATACCTGCCGGAAGCAGCCTTGCCTGGCCTGACCAACACCAAGCTGACTTACATGCTCACCAGTGGGAGCTATGGCAAACCAGGGGAGTTCCCCAAGTTCTCCCACCAGGCTCACTCCCAGACCCAGCTCTCACACATGCCAGTGGGTGTTAGGCCCTTAGCCGGCACAATCTACCCTTCCCCCACGTCAGCCTTTGCGTGTACTCATGGAGATTGCAGCCCAGTCTGCCCCACACCCAATTCTTGAGTGCGTCTGAACGTGCTAGCCTGGTCCAGCTGGCCTGTTCCCATCCTCAGTACCCATGAGTGTTGGTGAGTTCCATGATCATGCCTTGCTCAGCGCTTCCGGCAAACCGGTTGGCATTGCAGTTCCACGAGGGTTAGCCCATGATCCCCCACAGAATCTGCTCCCAGACCTAGTTCTTTAGCATGCTGGTTAGCGTCATGGCCCAGCCAGACATGTTCCACCCCCTGCTCTGACACTCACTAATGGGCACTGTGGTCAAGCCCCGGCCAGTTCAGAGTGCCCATTGGCAGATGTGAGAACCAGGACAGGATGCAGGACGGGCCGGGTGGGGCTGCAATGCTAACCAGTTTGTGTTACACCAAAACTGGGGACAGCCCAGGCTGGGCCAGGCTGCAGTATCCACCAGCGTAGCTGAGTCTGAGGCAGCCAGGCTGAATCAGGCTGCAACACCCTCTGGTGAATGCCGAGGTTAGGCAAAACATGCCACAGTAGCCACCAGCACATGTAACACTAGGGACAGAGGCAGAGAGCCTGGTACAGGGTCCTGCTAGACCACTGTTCCCTCTGCTGAGCAGCAGAGCTGGGGCTGGGGGCAAACCAGGCTGGGAAGGACTACAGCACCTGTGGCGTGCATGTAAGCTGGTTTAGCAGGAGGACAAGGTTAGGCTAAGCAACCATTTCCATGGGTGCATGCATGAGCCAGAGTAAGTGCAAGCTGGTTGGGCTTTGCCATAGCATCAGCTGGCAAGTGCTGGAAACGGGTGCAAGTCCTGTCAAGCTGGACAGCAGAGCCACCTGGAAAATGCAGGAACTGGGTCTGGGAGTGAGCCTATGGGGAAACTGGCCACTCTTTGACCCTTCCCACCCTGAACAGTGATGTGCGTGAGCATGTATCCTTCTCGATTCTATAAACATCACCAAAAATAGAAGTTAAAAAAATAATATCAATGGGGGGAAAAAGGAAGGTTTTTGTTATTTAATGTTGAATGTGTTGAAAAAACAAAACCAGCGGTGAAGTGGAAATGAAGCTATGCCTGAGGGAAGGAAAGGATAGACACACAAAGAGCAGTTTATAGAGAAGTATATCATGATTTGGGAGGTACACTTGGAATAGGCCTGATGGGGCCCGGCATGGTGGTTCAATGGTTAAAGTCCTTAACTTGAATGTGTCAGGATTCCATATGGGTGCCGGTTCTAATCCCGGCTGCCCTGCTTCCCTTCTAGCTCCCTGCCTGTGGCCTGGGAAAGCAATTGAGTACAGCCCAAAGCCTTGGGATCCTGCACCCACCTGGAAGAAGTTCCTGGCTCCTGGCTTCGGATCAGCGCAACTCTGGCTGTTGCGATCACTTGGGGAGTGGATCACTGGATGAAAGATCTTCCTCTGTCTCTTTTCTCTATATATCTGACTTTGTAGTAAAAATAAATAAATCTTAAAAAAAAAGAGAGACCTGATGAAAAATAATGATTAGCTCATCCTAAAATGAATTTGAAAAATGCAACGCCAACAAGTATCAAATTCAAGATGAATGAATCCTGATATTTGTTATTTTGCTTTTTTAGTTAACTGAGAAAAATTTGTTTAAAAAATGCTTATTCATTGAGTTTGCCTTAATTTTGGTTTCTTATTTTTGTAATGTTTTAATTTGACTTTGATTTAGTTGATAAAATTATGTCTTTGTATTTTATTTTAAAAAGTGACTACCGTATATATATTTTTAAGATTTCTTTATTTTTATTACAAAGTCAGAGAGGAGGACAAATAGAGAGGAAGATCTTTCGTCCGATGATTCACTCCCAAGTGAGTGCAACAGCCGGTGCTGTGCCGATCTGGAGCCAGGTGCCAGGAACTTCCTCCAGGTCTCCCATGTAGGTGCAGGGTCCCAAGGCTCTGGGCCACCCTCAACTGCTTTCCCAGGCCACAAGCAGGGAGCTTAATGGGAAGTGGAGCTGCTGGGATTAGAACCAGTGCCCACATGGGATCCCGGCGCGTTCAACGCGAGGACTTTAGCTGCTAGGCCATGCCGTCGGGCCCTGTATTTTATTTTAAAAAGTGAATACATGCATATTTTTATTTACCAAATTTTTGTAATTCAGGGTTTATCTTTTACAGATGACTTGCAGGATGTAATAGAGAGAGCTGTCCAGATTGGTGTTAAGAAGGTAACATCTGCTTCCTTTGTGATTCTTAAGTTTGGGAGGTCTTTTTATTGATATTGTACATTGATACTGTAGTTGATATAAAATAGAAAACCTTTCATTAGGAATATGTTGGAAATTGCACCATTGTCATGTCATTGTATTTGTATATTGGCAAAGAAATTATGTCCTCTCTTTCTGTCCTTTTTTCTGCTATTTGGAATTTTATGTAAAGTGAAAGATTGTATCGATTAGGAAATGTTTGAAATAATTAAAATATTAGATGTGGGCCACTGGTCTGATACTGAAGAATTAAATAATGTTGGTAAATGATATGCTTCCTCATATTTTTCTTTAGTTTTGGGAGCTTGCATCTGCTAATTTACTTCCCAAGTGCCCAGAAAGGCCAGGGATGAGCCAGACCTAAACAAGGAGGCAGGGATTTAATCCAGGTTTCCCATGTGGACGGCAGAGACCCACCTGAGTAGGCCCCACTGCCTTGCTGGGTCTGCGCTCCCAGGAAGCAGGGTTGGCAGTCTGACGTCAGTGGTGGACGTCCTGACCGGTGGCTTTAACTGCAAGCCCAGATGCCCATCTCTCCATGTTTTTTTATCATCAGCTCATCTGTATTTTATAGCAGCTGAGGATTGGGTTATGGCTCTATGTTCCTTGAATGGAAACTCATTGTCAATAATCATGTTAGAGACTTAAGCTGTTAGTATCTGTCATTTGCAATTCTGGGCAGTTGGAATGAAATTGTCATTTTGTTGGACATTTTATTTATTGGACTTTTCCAGTATGCTGGAAAAGTGTGCTGCCATCACTCCTTAAGAAGAGAGTGTTCCTGCTGGCGCACCGCGTGGCAGTCAGCATCCACAGCGAGCTCCTCAGTGACAGCTGAGCAGGGGTGGCATGCTATCTGGCAGGTCTGTGGCCAACTCTATAGCAGTGTGCTTATCTGCCACCAGCCGTCCGTGCACTCCTGCACACCCATGTGTAGTAGTAACTCATTGGTTCTCAAACGTCTTGGGTTCTGAGCTCTGTCACGCCCTTTATTTTTGAGAGCCCCCATCCAGCTTCTGTCTATGTGGGCTTTATCGACTGATGTCACTAAAACCTTTTTCTATTTTTAATTATTAATTATTCCTATTTTTGATTATTTTTACTTAGTTGATTAGGGTGATAAGGGTCAAGGGCTACAGGAAGGTGGATGAGATCACCATTTCCACATTGTTTTTTTTTCCTTCCTGGATCTTTGGGAAGTGGGGAGACAAGGAAAGAAGCCACACCCAGTCTCCCAAATGCCTCCAGACCCTGGGATGGAGGACAGCCACCCAGTGCTATCCCCAATATGGGGCATGCTCCGATAAACTGTTAACATAAATAGCATTTTTATATAGAGTCAGTATTTCCCAAAACAAAAACAAAGTTAGTACCATAAGAACAGTTATTTTACATTTTGTTCAATCTCTTTAGGTAGACAGAAAGAAGATGCTAAATTTTAGTATTTGTTTTGGTAGTCAGTTGTGGCATTGTGCATCCTGTGGCCCCTGGAGTACCTCCTTGTGAACTTAGGAGGAATGAGAGTGAAAATGACCAATTCCATCTTAGTGGTACTATGAACGTAGTTTGAACCTCATGTAATTCCTGACCCACACCTGCGGAACTGATGAATTAATCTTTACTGTTGATTCACTGATTTAAATGAATACAAATCTAAATTCTCAGGTCATGAGTAACGCAGTGTTTTGTACCAGACAATGCCTGTGTTGAAGGAACTTGGGGTACAAGAGGAAAGACAGACATGTGCACACACTTGACAGCAGAGTGGTGTATTCCAAGCAGTGGTGGAGGCGTGGTGTGCGCAATTATGAATGCACTTCTGTGTGTATGGGTGGTTTGGCAGATGATTTTGCAGCTGGGTTTGAAAGGAAGGGTCAATATGTGACAACTGAAGGAAGAAGCTTCCTAGAAGGGAGGAGCTGTGAGAATGAATGTTTGGGAAATTGTTCCTGATGTCCTGTTAAGTCGTTTTATTGTTTTCTTTCTGTTTCAGTTTATGATTACAGGTGGAAATCTGCAAGACAGTAAAGATGCGCTGCATTTGGCACAAACAAATGGTATCCTCATATTACTTTTACACAAAGCATTATGAATTAAGTAATTTTGGAGAAGTCTTTCTGAGAACTGCTTCAGGTACAATACAGTGGGTCATGACTGTAGAAACAACAGGAAAGTTGAGTTTAGTAAGACATGCTAAGGTGGCAGAATTCAGAGTACTCATTGGTCTCTCAGATGTCACAGAAAAACCAACAGCCAGGGTTGGGTAGGGACTGAAACTAGGAGCAGGGAACACGAATCACTTCTCCCCAATCACTTGAGCCCTGGCTGTCGCCTCCCAGGGTCTGTGTTAACAGAAAGCCGGAGTTAGGAGCCAGAACTGGATGTTGAACCTGGGCCTTCTGATACTGTGTGCGGGCGACCTAACCCCTAGGCTATGTGGCAACCCTGGGGAACGTGTTTTAACTGATACATTAAGAACATGAATCGAGACAGTCACTTGAAGGGTGAATATAAAATATAAAAATAGATGTTGACATTTGGAAAAATTGTTTCATCTTCCAATCTACAGTGTTCTAGAAATGTCAAGCTTTGTAAATAGTTGAATTATTTCATTAGCATATTAAACCAGTTTCATATTTATATAATATTTTGCTAAGGTATTCCAAAGACTCTTACATGATTAAAATGATAACAATTCTGGTAATTAACAATATGGCTGTTATTCAAAATCAGCAGAAATTATTTGAGGTACCTTCATTTTGCAGTATTAAAGTGTGAAAAATATTTTGAAAATAACACGAAGACGTATTTGTGGTTAGATATGTTTTACAGCACAGTCGGATGTCATCCTACAAGATGTGATGAATTTGAAAAGACTGGCCCTGATCTTTACTTAACGGAGTTGCTTCATCTTGCTGAAAACAACAAGGGCAAGGTTGTGGCAATAGGTGAATGTGGACTTGGTAAGTGTCGACCTAGTTATGAAGCGTGACTTTGAGAAGAAGTGATTTATTTTATGCAAATCATGAATAATTTTTTTTGTCCTTTTTTTTTTTTTGTAAGATTTTGACCGACTACAGTTTTGTCCCAAAGAGACTCAGCTCAAGTAAGGAAATGTGTTTCTTTTCGAAATTAATGTAACATCTAAAGGGTGATTTTCTTAAAGGCTTCTTATAGAAGGGCATTTTATCCATTTAGTTTTATTTAGGAGAAAAAGAGATAATCTGTCATCTGGTTTGCTATCCAAAGCCCACAACAGCTGGGGCTGGGCCAGACCAAAGTCTGGGCCCAGAACTCAGTCTGGGTCTGCCACACGGGAAGCAGAGGCGTTACCCACTGCTTCCCAGCCTGTGTAGCAGCAGGAAGCTGGAATTAGAACTGGGTGCAAATGTAAATAATGGGCAGTATGTATCAGAGCTGGGCATCAAGTGCGGCATCTTAAGTGCTCTGCCAAGTGCCCACCCCCTTGGGCCCGGCACAGTAGCTCAGTGGCTCAAGTCCTCGCCTTGCATATGCCAGGATCCCATGTGGATGCTGGTTCTAATCCCAGCAGCATTACTTCCCATCCAGCTCCCTGCTTGTGGCCTCGGAAAACAGTCAAGGATGGCCCAAAGCCTTGGGATCCTGCACCCACCTGGGAGACCCAGAGGAGACTATAGGCTCCTGGCTTCAGATTGGTGCAGCTCCAGTCATTGCGGCCACTTGGGGAGTGAATCATTGGATGGAAAATCTTCCTCTATCTCTTCTCCTCTCTGTATATCTAACTTTGCAATATAAATAAATAAATAAATCTTAAAAAAAAATGCCCACCCCTTAGAGTGGTTTTCAAAATCATTCCTATCATTTGAAAATGTAGCTGCATTAAGTGTCAGGATGTTGTGCTTTTTCCCTGTGTACTTCAGAGGTTAAGTGAAGGAGTGGGCATTTGACCCAGCAGTAAAAGCACTGCGTGGGATGTCCCCCTGCCCTGTTGGAATGTGTGCAGTTTAGTCCTGCCTCCTGCCTCCTGCTGGGGCGCACTCTGGGGGCCGCAGGTGTGGGCTCCCTGGTTGGGTCTGCTCATAGAGAAGATCTGGGTTGGACTTCGGACTCTGATCCACAGCCTGCCTCAGTCCTGCCTGTTGGGGGCATTCGGGGCGTGAACCAGAAGCTGGGAGATCTCTGTCTCTGCCTTTCGAATAAAATGAATTAATGTGGGAAATATCCTCACCTGTCGGCTCAAGAGATGGCCTGGGACTCAGGAAGTACAGTGAGAGCAAGACATTATTATCTGTCTTGAAAGAGCAGGTGTCTGGGGAGCAGGCCCACAGGAGCACTGAGAGCGACTCCCATCCTAGAGCCAGGTCCCTGCCCTGCTTCCTCGTTGGCTGAGTACTGTGGCGTGTCCAGTCTTCCCAGACATCACCTGAACTGCAAACCCGCCCTCTTCCTTCTCTGTGCTTTCCTTTCCCCTTGTGAGTGGGCTACCCCTTAACATCCTGTTTGCCCAGCGAGTTTTGCTGCCTCTACAAATCAGCAAGCAGGAATTTTTTGTTCTGTTTATTGTTAGAAGCAGTAATACAACCAGAAGAAAATTGCAAGTCAGGCAAGGAATTACTTTCATTGACAAACTTTAAAATAAAAAAAACCATTACAAAACAGGCAGGAAAGTCTTCACAGATAGTCTCTGTACTGACTTGTTTTGTTGTTCCCAGTTCCCATCAAGGGATTTTTTTCTTTTAAGGATAAGTCTTTACTGGTAGGTGCCCGTGCTCCTCAGTTTGTATTAGCAGTAGTTTATTTCACTGCTGGTACTTCACCAGCACGAGCCCGGGAGCTTTCTTTTCCTAACTGATGTGAAGTTCTCTGGTCAAATTGCTTGAGCTCAAGTTGTTTGCATAAAGTGTTCTTTTTTGCCTACCCTGTGATCAGAAGCTAACTTGCAAACTAACTATTAGCCTCTGTAATCTGGGGCTTGGTCCGTGGGGTTGGATGGAGAGGTGATTATTAAGTGGCAAGTCCTGTCCACTGTGCAAAGCCAGAAGCTGGCCTTGCCATACAGTGAGGTTTTTATAATAATGAGCACATACTTAATTGCTAGTGTTTGCATTATTTTAGAGGTTAGGGACATGGTGGCTCATAGTATTTCTTGAGCTCTGTTTCCTCCAACTTCTCATTGATATTTCGTATCAATATTTAGTCCAACAGATTCTAAAGAAATTATTTAAAACCCAAACTTGGGTTATGTTTGGGTATGAAGACATTGGGGCACCCATTTTAGGAAAGACTATTTCTTTAAGGAGTGCATTTCTGTTTCTTATTTTAAGAGTTAGCATGTTCAAGGTACTAAGAGATACTCCAGGAAAACAGTTTTGTATGTCAAAAGAGAATACGGAGATCTGGCACAGTAGCCTAGTGGCTAAAGTCTTCACCTTCCATTCACTGGAATCCCATATGGGAGCAGGTTCTATTCCTGACTGCTCCACTTCCTTCCAGCTCCCTGCTTGTAGCTTGGGACAGCAGCGGAGGATGGCCCAGAGCCTTGGGACCCTGCACCCATGTGGGAGACCCGGAAAAAGCTCAGCTTCGGCCATTGTAGCCCCTTTGGGAGTGAACCCGCGGATGAAAGATCTTTCTCTCTATATATCTGCCTTTCTAATTAAATAAATATATCTTTTTAAAAGAGAGAGAGATGATGTAGGAACATGTATAAGGTTTAAGTTAAATACAGAGAATTTGCTTCCTCAAAATAAAGGCTTTGGGAGAGGTAAACCCATTCATAAAAGTAAAACAGGACTTGGTGTCCTGTTTTCAGCCAAATCTATGTGGCCTTTCTAAGTACAAGGCAGGAACACTGCATGGAAACAAGAAAACAAATAGAACATTCCCCCAATGTGTCCTCTGGATATTGTCATTATATTCAAGGACCTTTGAACCAAGAGCTTCATCTAGGTCTCCCACAGAGATGACCAGGGTCCAAACACTTGAGCCATCTTCTGCTGCTTTTCCTACGTCATTAGCAGGAGAACTGCTTTGGAAGTGAAGCAGCTGGGACTTGAACCAGTGCCCATATGGGGTGTCAGCATCACAGGTTGTGGCTTTGCCTGTTACACCACAACACCTCTAATGTAGGTTTTTGTTCTTGTTGTTCGTTTTTTTGTTGTTGTTGTTTTGGTTTTTTGTTGTTGTTTTACGATTTAGGCTAGAATTTTGTAATCAGTGTATTAGGCTTATTCCCAGTTTGTCATGTTGTGTAGTGTGGCTCAGGACATAGTGCTGTATCATTAAGGTTATTTTGAGGATTAAAGTGAGTACAATATGTAGCAATTAGAAAACCCATTTTATGATGTTATTTTCATTTTTGAGAAACTAGCTTTTACCTGTTTATTTAGTAAATGGTTGAATTTGGGTGTTAAGGGAGTCCTTTTGCTTTCAGCTCAGAGGCTATAACTTCCCTGATGACAGCACATAGAAACAGATTGCAACATGCAGGCGGCTAACCATCAGTGTGAAGCTCAGCCTGGCTTCTGATTCAAGTGAGCAGGCTTACACCCCTGTTCCCCTACTTGGCAGTCCCCTGTGGCCAGGGCTGGTGGTGATGTCCTGTGTCACCAGTATATGCTACAGGCATGAGGTCCCTAGGGTAACAGGATGAATAGCCATGTTGTTTCCACTTGCTTGGAAACTTGTTAAACATTGCTGTTTGGGAGAACATTCCTGGTCACCCCAAATGTAAACCTTACACTTCTGCTGACAATTGGTAGGAATATGCTACTTTTTCCCAGTAGTTATAATGAAGAAATTAAACAACATCTCTGGAAATAATTTTGCCATCCCAGAAAATGAACTATCCCTTCCTAGAATTTTTGTATTGTAAAAGCCTGCTGCTGTGGTACATGTTTGGCACCACACTTAAACCTCTGTTTGGAGCCATGCCCATATCCCATAAGAATGTCTGGGCTGCAGGTCTGACTGAACTTGCAGTTCCAGCTTTCTGCTAATGTGCATGCCACTGATGCCCACCCTGGGAGGCAGCAGGTGAGAGCATATGGGTGGTCCAGCCTGGGCTGCTTTGGGCATCTGACAAGTCAAACAGCTATAGAACCTCTCTCAAGCAAGTAAGAGTTTTTAAAAGCCCTCTGATGAACTCAATGGTTTTAATAGGTGACTATTTGCATGGTATAATCCCTAGAGTATGAAATTATTTTTTAAGTAGAAGATTTATTTACTTTAAAAATTTATTTGTTTATTTATTTCTAAACATAGAGGGAGAGGCACGAAGAGATCTTTCATCCACTGCTTCACTCCCCAGATGGCCACAACTGCCGAAGCTGGGCCACGCAAATGCAGGAACTTCTGAGTGGAAGAGGCCCAAGCACCTGGGCCATCTTCTGCTGCTTTTCTCAAGCCATTAATAGAGAGCTGGGGCAGAACTGGCACAGCCAGGACTTGAATGGGTGCCCACTGGGATACTGGTGTCACAGGGAACAGTCTTACCTACTATGCCACATCGCTGGCCACCAAAATCGTTCTAGTTAAAAAGGAGACAGATGTTACAGTTCAGTGTTAAGCTGCCATGTGACACATTTACATTCCTTTTCCTATTCGAGTGCTGGGTTTGAGTCCTAGCTACTCTGCTTCTGATGCAGCTTCCTGGCAGGCAGTGACTGGGACCCTACAAACCACGTTGGCGAACTAAATGAGATTCTGGGCACCTTGGTTCCCGCCTGACACAGCCCTGGAGAGTAAACCAGCAAGTCAGATCTCTCTCTCTCTCTCTTTCAAGTAGTTGAAAGTGTACATTTTAAAAAAAAACTAAACATAACTTTCTCTCTCACACTAAAATGTTTAATGAGGATAATTCTTGCATTATGCAGATATTTTGAAAAGCAATTTGAACTGTCAGAACAAACAAAGTTGCCAATGTTTCTTCATTGTCGAAACTCACATGCCGAATTTTTAGGTGAGTCAAAACTAACATTTAATATTTAAGAATTTTATGGGGATGAAGTTACTTGCTAAATGTTCTTTGTTTTTAATTCACAGACATAATGAAAAGAAACAGGGACCGCTGTGTAGGTGGCGTGGTAAGTATTAAATAGTTGGTTTTTTTTATTATGTTAACCACAGAAGCACATTGGTTAGTAAAGTTGGCTTCTAAAATAATTCCAGGTTCAGTGATCAAGTTATTAAGGTTCTTCTCGTTGTTTGAAGGACATGTCAATTTACAGTTGGGTTTCTGGGCCAGATGTGGCACAAACATAAATCACACTGTTTTACAGTTCCTTTGTACAAGGATGAATACAGAATTCTGTTCATGAGAAAACCCCTTGAAGTTATGACACGTTCTAACTATGCAAGACATTCTTTTCCTGGTCTCTTCTGTCACCCAGTCCTTAGTGATCTTCAGTTTAAATTCTAAGAAAAAAGGAAACTGATTTTTACAATACCTTAAAGTATTTGAACACTTGCTTCAGGTTGCCCTCCTAACTTTTTGACTGCTACATCCACCTCCTAGTTACTCGGACCTAGAGACCATTTCCCCTCTCTGGAACGTGTGTTCTACTGTAGGTCTTCTCCCATGTGGTCCTTTGAACCATTCAGCTGGGGACATCTCCCCTGCAGGGCAGCTACCCATCACTGAATCAGGGGTCCTTTTCAGTGGTTCTGTAATCCCTTTCAGACCACAGAGTTTTGTGAGACACAGCCTTAGAGAAGTGCACATACAGATTGTCCCCCACAGTGCCAGTGGAGACTGTCTAACACAATGCTTGTGCAGGTATATAAAGTCACAGACAGTGGCCTAACCCTGCCCTTCCTCTATGGGTGCTGCCTTGTGTGTGTCTCCGTGTCCAGGGTGATACCATCTGCCTCCTGTGGCTTGCTGTCAGCAGTGTGAGTGCATACACCTTCTATAAGTGCTGTGGAGTTAGGATTGCTGTGGACACGTTTCCTGTGGTTTACTGATTGTGACTCATCTTTTAGGAACTTTAATTACTGTCCTTGGGATAGGCTGTTGGTGGCATTATAACCTATAGCCTCTCTCTCTCTAATTTAATCTCTAAGTAAGAGTTCATTTGAGTGAGTCCATCATTGCTTTAAAAAGTTTAAAACAATATCAAATCCAACTTAAGTGTTTCACTTTTACACAAAAAGAAATTGCCAAATAATGAATAATTCTGAAATGGTTTCTGAGGAGTCACATTTAAAACTCATCCTGGTATTAATTGAGGTTGTGTTTTCCAGTCAGCTTCCAGAGCTGCAGGTTCTGAGGGAAAAAATCACCCCTTTGCAGACAGCTGTGCATCACTGGTTTCTTTATGTTGAGACCATGGGAGCAAAAGGCGTCCAGAGGACTTTGAACTTGGTAGCAGCGTCATATCACTTGTCAGGTTTCCCATGTGCTGGACCATTTCCCAAATGCTCACATGAGTTGAGGTTGGGGCACAGAAATCTCGGGTCTCCCACACAGCCAGCAGGGACCCAACTGTTCAAGGCATCACTGCTGCTTCCAGAGTGCTCAAAGCAAGAAGCTGGGCTGAGGAGCAGAGCTGGCACTCAGACCCAGGCATATTGACAGTGGGGTGCTGTGTGGGTCACCTGCCGTGACTTTAGCTTTTAATTATTTATTTTTTTAATATTATTTTGATGATGTTTACATAGATGATGATGTTTACATAGTTGATCCAGGGTCAAGCATCAGAGGAAAAGTGGGCAAGATCATTGTTTCCACATTTGCTTTTTCTTCTTCCTGTATACAATGGGAGAGACCACGCCCAGCCTCCTCCTGATGTCATCACAGGCTCCCTGGGTGGAGCATGTTCTGAGGGTTCTGCTCAAGTTCTAAGATGCTGTTGATGTCACTACTCCAAAAATGAGGAAATTCATCCCAGGTCAGTTGGCTGACATAGTCCACCTCAGAGTCTCCATTTGCCCAGAAATTGCTGTGAAGTTTCACTGTGGTAGTTGATCAATTTGTTCTGCTTTCCTTCCTCTGCTTCCTCTATACAAACCAATGGGTACTGCGGCCCAGCCCAGCCCTGCCCACCACACTCTTGGCCATCACGTACACCATGGGGAGGTGCAGCCCAGTCAGAGTGACCCCAGTAACTCCCACTGGACCACCCCCAGCTCTGATTCCTGTGCCTGCCAGCATGTACAGTGGACTAGCCTGACCTTACTTTTTAAAGTAGCGTTACCATGGTGTGTTTTTTTTTTTTAGTGTTTTATTTATTTATTTATTTATTTTTTAATTATTATTATTTTATTACATTGCATCATGAGACACAGTTTTACAGGCACTGGGATTCCCCCCTCCCCTCCCCAAAACCCGCTCCCCCCCCATGGTGGATTCTTCCATCTTGTTTAGAGCCTTACAATTTTACAATTCTTTGATGTAGATCAGAAGCAGTCTACTCATATCGATTATTGATTCCTTGATTACTTCACAATATCTTATTGCATGAGATACAGGTTGTTTGGGGTTGAAATAATATTACTGTTTCAGATTGACATCAATTCATAACAACCACATCAACAACAACAACAACATCGACAACAAAGTATATCACCCTGAAAAAAAGTAACACCACTGAATAGCCAACACATGCATGACAAAAAGGAAACACAGAAGTCTCTCGGGAAAAATGGTGCCATCATATACTTCATAAGCACATGATGAATTCTACTAGAGAATAGAGATTATTTGGAAGCAACCAAACTGAAGTAAAAACATCAAAAAACCAGCATAGATTTGATTACATAAATAGATCCAAACCATGAAAAACTGTGTCTTTTAAGTAGAAGCACACCATTCTCATCCTTGCTGTCTACTGAGCTGCTAGTGATTACATTTTAAAAGCATTGTTCTGGGCCCCGCATGGTACCCGAGGGCTGAAAGTTCTCGCCTTGCATGCTCGAGATCCCATATGAGCGCCAGTTCCTATCCCAACCGTTCCACTTCCCATCCAGCTCCCTGCTTGTGGCCTGGGAAAACAGTCAAGGATGGCCCAAAGCCTTGGGAACCTGAACCCATGTGGGGGACCCAGAAGAAGCTCCTGGCTCCTGGATTCTGATCGGCTCAGCTCCAACTGTTGCAGCCTGTTGGCGAGTGAATGAGCAGATGGTAGATCTTTCTGTCTCTCCTCTCTGCAAATCTGCTTTTCAAAAAAAAAATAAATAAATAAATCTTAAAAATAATAATAATAAAATGCTCTTCTCGCCTCTTCCAGATGATAACATTTTTCAAACTTTCTATGCTCTGCCTAAGGTTATGGTTCCCTACTCCTCCCCCCCACCCCCGCCCCGGGTCTGCACAAATGCCGAGACATCAGCATGGCTACTGTTCTTACTTCCAGTCATTGGGGATGATGTTATAATTGTAAAACAAGGTTTTAAAATATAATTGTAGGAGCTGCATTATGGCATAGTGGGTTCACAGTCCCAGCTGCTCTACTTTTGATCCAGTGAGCTCCTTTTTTTTTTTTAAAGATTCATTTCTTTGTATTGGAAAGGTGAATTTTACAGGGAGAAAGAGAGACAAAGAGCTTCCATCCACTAGTTTACTCCCCAAATAACCAGAGCTGAGCTGATCTGAAGCCAGGCATCAGAGAACTCTCTTCCAGGTCTCCCACATGGGTGTAGGGTTCCAGAACTTGGGCTGTTATCCACTGCTTTCCCAGTCCACATGCATGGAGCTGGATAGGAAGGGAAGCAGTCAGGACACGAACCAGCACCCATATGGGATTGATTGCAGTGCTTCCAAGTGGAGGATTAGCCAATGGAGCCATTGTGCTGGCCCAATCATGCTGCTTGCTAAGGTGCTTAGGAAGGTAAAAGATGATGGTGAAGTCCTTGGGTCTGCCACCATCTACAAGACCAGGGTGGAATTCCTGGCCTCCTAGCTTCAGCCTGGACCAGACCTGACTATTGCAAACATTTGGGGAGTGAACCAGTGACTGGAAGAGATCTCTCAGTTCCTCACCTCTGGCACTCGGTCTTTGACATAAATCTGTTAAAATCTAATTGTAAGGAGAATCCCCACATTTGCAACCTTGTAACCCCAGAATACCTGACATAGATCTATATTTTTTCTTAGGAAATCTTATCAGTGTTATTTAAAATTTCAAGGGTGATTATTATAATAAGAATATCCCCCTCATCCTTAGGTGCATTCATTTGATGGGACCAAGGAAGCTGCTGCAGCTCTCATTGACTTGGATCTTTACATAGGTTTTAATGGTTGGTACGTTCTTGTTTTTAACTTTTTATTAAGAAGATTTTTTAAACTGTCTTGGAAAGAACAACTGATAAAAGATTTATTTTCAGTAAAGTTTGTGCCTGGGAAGTCAATGACTATTTACATAAGAAATTAAATAATGTGGGTTGGGGAGAGAAAAAGAAATTAAAGAATGTGTTACCGTTACAAGTTAAAGCTCAGAAATTAACTGAGACGGTATGTTTTCCAAATGAAAGTAATGTTGTGTGTTAAAAGCTGATTTTTCCTAGCAGTCTCCAGTGTATCCTACTGTCATTTTTATCTCTTTAAAACAGATGTAGACCCATCGTGTCTGACTGTGGCCAAAAGGTTATTCTGTCTACAGTCAGCTTATATGTTGCTGTGGACCAAGAAACCCAGGCTCAAAGAATTGAATAAATGGGAATCAGGTTACTCCATGTGGGAAGCTCTGTCCCCTGGCTTGTTGCTGGCGGCCGTTCGGCTATGACATCACGCCTAAATCTCACACAGTGGGAGTCAGCCAGCTGGGCCTGCCTCTGTGTCCTGTAAAACGCAGGGTCGTCACAGGGAGTCAGCGCAGCTCATTAAACAAACTGCAAAGCAGGACAATTTCCTTTCCCTCCTCAGGGCACCATTCTCCTGCATTTAATCCTTTTCCAGTTAGCATTTTTGACTAAAATTATATTAGGAAAACAGAATCATGGAATGATGTGTTTGCTATAGAAATCAGAGTTTTTAAAATGTCTTACGTGCTTCTTTCATATTTAAAATCATAGTTTAATTTATACATTAATATGGTGGCGTGGCTTATGAGGCTAAAATCCTCACCTTGAATGTGCCAGAATCCCATATGGGCGCCAGTTCTAATCCCAGCAGCTCCACTTCCCATCCAGCTCCCTACTTGTGACCTGGGAAAGCAGTTGAGGACGGCCCAAAGCCTTGGGACCCTGCACCTGTGTGGGAGACCTGGAGGAAGTTCCTGGCTCCTGGCTCCTGGCTCCTGGCTTCTGATCGGTGCAGCACCAGCCATTGCACTCACTTGGGGAGTGACTCATCGGACAGAAGATCTTCCTCTCTGTCTTTCCTCCTCTCTGTATATCTGACTTTCCAATAAAAATAAATAAATCTTATTAAACATATGCAAAATACACATTGAAAAAGGAGTACAGCATTAAAAGCCAAGTGGTGCATGTGTTTCCACATCAGTGCCCCGGCATGCACCCTCTGCTGGTTGTCACCCAGTTTCCAGATGACGTGCATAAGCTCTTGTCTCTGGCTTCTCCCCATTGTCCATCTCATCGCGGTATAAAAGCCTCTTAGCCCCATGTCCCAGGTTGACCTGTACTTCCACTGGTCTATCTGTAGTCTTCTCTGCATAGCCACTTCAGAATGTTTGGTTTTTATGTCTCTTGAGAGTTTTCATAATTATATCTATGTAAATACTACCGACTACTGAACCATAGAGGTATCATTTCTTGTACCTGGAATGATTTTCTTCCTATTTCAGTTTGCTTGGCTTTTTTCAGAACTTAAAGGCCTCACACACTTTGCACAGTCCTGGAAAGTGTCCTATCCTGTCTGCCCCCGTGAGAAACCACACCGACCCGGTCTGGGCTATCACATTGTGCCGTTAGCTCCTGACTGCTCCATCTGTCTGTTTCCAGTTGCACTTGAAACAGTTCAAGTTGTTTCCAGCCCCATCTCTGCTGTGATGGATCCTGGTTTTCTCTAGACGTGTATCTTCCTCTTGTTTTGGTGGAGCACAGCCTTTCTGTTCACTGCCAGAACAAGTCAACTTTTTGGATTTGACGTGTTTGAAAATGAATTTGTTCTATTCTTACTGTTAAAACTTTGTCCACATAATGAATGTGGTTTCACCAAAGCATGCTGTTTACTTATTTCTTTTTCTCATTGTTATATGGGGGGAATGTTAAATTTTAAGAGAAGGGAGTTTATTGTTTTATTTCACCAACTTTAAACCCTAACTCTTAGATGTTTCTAAAACATCTTGACTTTGTGACAGTACGGTTTTAGGCTAATCCTGAGCGTTCCCTCCCATATTAATATTAACTTTAGAACTTGTTCAGAACTGCTGACAGTTCCCTCCCAGCCCTCGTACTGTCTCATTGAAATGAAAATACAGATATTCAAAAGGAGTCTACGGCCATACCACCCTGAACGCACCTGATCTCGTCTGATCTCGGAAGCTAAGCAGGGTCGGGCCTGGTTAGTACTTGGATGGGAGACAGATATTCAAAAGGAAAAAAACCTGTGTAGGTGGGTGGGGTTTTGCTCACGGAGAAGTGTTTAGTAGTTTCTGGAAGGCAGAAATCCCAGATGGTACCACAGTGACAGGGTTGGATGATTGGCAAATGGAAGTTCTGTATTATTCTCATATGCATGTATTTGAAACTCTCCCTAATAACATTCTAAAATATAAAATATAAGTAATCACAGTTTTTAGTGAGTGAATGAACTGCAGTAGATGTAAGCAGTGGGAACATTGATTATTCAGTGCTGTAAAGCAGTGAGCTGCCAAGCCATGCCAAGACCGGGAGGGGATTTCAATGCATATTACTAAATGAGAGAAGGTGATCTGAAAAGACGACATGCTACATAGTTCCAATCATGTGAAATTCTGGAAAAAGCCCAACAGTGGAGACAGTGTAAAGATCATTGGTTCTTAAGAGTTCCCAGAGAGGGAAAGGTGCATAGGCAGGTGTTTACAACAGTGGAAGCAACTCTGCAGGAGGCTGCTATGGTGGATACATATCATTGTCCAGATCACTGAACAAACACCACCAAGCGTGAGCCTGAACGTGCACTGTGCATGCTGAGTAATGATGATGTGCTGCTGTGGGTTCCTGTGTTATCACAAATGGTTCAATGTGGTCTGAAACTTGGACAGTGGGGGAGGCTGTGCTTTTGTGGGGGCATGGGGTGAGGGGTCTCTGTACCTTCTGCTGTTTTGCTGTGAACCTAAAGCTGCTCTAAAAATGAAAATTTGTGATTATTATATATTTTGATATTTAGTTTAGTTTTTTTTGTTGTTTTTTTCAAGATTTATTTATTTTTATTGCAAAGTCAGATATACAGACAGGAGGACAGAGAGGAAGATCTTCCATCCACTGATAGACTCTCCAGGTGGCCATAACAGCTGGAGCTGTGCCAGTCTGAAGCCAGGAGCTTCTTCCGGGTCTCCCACACGGGTACAGGGTCCAAAGGCTTTGCTTTCCCAGGCTACAAGCAGAGAGCTAGATGGGAAGCTGGGCCGCCAGGACACGAACCAGCACCCATATGGGATCTTGGCATCTTTAGCCACTACGCTACCACACCCAGGCCTTTTAATTTTTTGATGATGTTTACATAGTTGGTCAGGGTGGGAAGGGTCAAGCATCAGGGAAAAGTGGGCAAGATCATTGTTTCCACATTTGCTTTTTCTTCTTCCTGTATCCGGGGGAGGGGAGGATACAATGGGAGAGACCACGCCCAGCCTCCCCAGTACCTGATGTCATCACAGGCTCCCTGGGTGGAGCATGTTCTGAGGGTTCTGTTCAAGTGGTTCTGCTCAAGTTCTAAGATGCTGTTGATGTCACTACTCCAAAAATGAGGAAATTCATCCCAGGTCAGTTGGCTGACATAGTCCACCTCAGAGTCTCCATTTGCCCAGAAATTGCTGTGAAGTTTCACTGTGGTAGTTGATCAATTTGTTCTGCTTTCCTTCCTCTGCTTCCTCTATACAAACCAATGGGTACTGCGGCCCAGCCCAGCCCTGCCCACCACACTCTTGGCCATCACGTACACCATGGGGAGGTGCAGCCCAGTCAGAGCGGCCCCAGTAACTCCCACTGGACCACCCCCAGCTCTGATTCCTGTGCCTGCCAGCATGTACAGAAGACTGGTCTGGACTGTCCCATATCCCTTTCAGCTCTCATACACATCATTGGGCATTGGAGCCTAACTCAACCCCACCAACTCCACCTTCTAGCCCACCCTCCTGCCGGGCCCACCCCTTCTTGGTTCTCATGCTCCCCAGTGGGAGTTGCAGCCCATCAGAGAAGTGACTATATTTCCTTTAGACAGCATTAACTTTTCATCATATGGCAAATCTCAATAGCAAAGCGTAGTTAATGTAAATTCATACTCAGGGCCTATGGGTCAGCTGCGGTTTGGCTAGGAGGCTGAGCTCTAAGCACAGGTCACATGTTAGGTTCAAATCTGTGTCATGTGTACTCACTTGGGGTGTCCAGGCTGACAAGGTGACTGACTGTGACTCAATACGTGCTACGCAGAAGGTGTCAGTTGCCCTTCCACACCCCAAGAGTCCCTTTCAAGCCCGGGGCCATGTTACTCTGTTGACTTAAACCAAGGCTTGAAGGCAAGGCCAGACTCATGGAGTTCACCCCTGCTTGGAAGAAGACATCATTCTACTAGAGGAAGGTAAAGAATAGGCAGCAGTAATCCATGCTCTAAATTATGCAAATTATATCAGGAGTCAATGTATTTTTATTTTCTTGGAGTGGGAGAAAGATATTGAAAGATCAACAGGTAAGCTCAAAAAATTACACTTTATAGGCAGACCTGGTGGAAACAGATCTCATTCTGGATTCTATGAAGGATATGAATGTGAAGATATCAATAAAATTTGTTATACGCGTTTGGGTTTAGTTTTGTAATTTGCTTTAGACAAACTGATAAGCTATTCATTAAATGCCACTTTATTTTAATATATACTTTCACCCCCTGAAGCTCACTAAAAACTGAAGCTAATTTGGAAGTTTTGAAGTCAATACCTAGTGAAAAATTAATGATTGAGACAGGTAAGTTGATATTTTCAATATTTTATTCAACTGTATCCCCATTCCTCAAAAAAAGGGGATGGGTAGAATCTGACTTCGGGTTTATTGTTGAAATGAATGCATCCAGTAAGACAGCATGCTCAGCCTCAAGTGACAGTTTTCGTAAGATCTTTGAGGCTGAAGGAGAAATTGTGCAACTGGCTCTTCTTTTCAATTTTAGAAGAATTTTAGAAATTTGCCTAACCTTCAGAACTTCCAAAGTGGGATGTCAGAATGGAGGCGTAGTTAGGAATGTTTAATTAAGCAAGGAGTACTGACTAAGCATTTTATTCACCTCCAGGTTTCAAAATGTGTTCAAGAATCTCTTCATTATATAGTATCTGTTCATAATGGCTGAATTCTACAGCACTTTTAAAATAAAGTGCAAATATTTAACTCAGATTGTTTCAAGGAATTTGACACTGTTGCCTGTTAAAGCAAGGCTAAACAGTAAAACATTTATGTAAACTTTTAACTCCAGGCCTCCTTACAGCATGGATTTCAGGACAATCAAGACTGAGTCACTCTGAAGAATCAGTTATCTCCTTGGGCAGTCAGGAAAGCTAAATGATGTATTCAAAGTACAATACTTGAACATTGTAAGCCATTGTAATTTCTTACATGTAGGTATTTAAAGCTGCTGCTACCCATTCAGTAGAAGCAACACTGAATTTACCTTCAATCCTTTCATATTTTACACTTTCTTTTACATCTAGGTCTTTATAAAACAAGCTGTACAACAGCAATAATAGAGTAGATAAAAGGAACTGAAGGGAGCCTTAGGAAGTACTTAAAATAAAATTCAGTGTTTTAGCTTTATACTTTCCTTAGACTGTTTTCTAACAAAAGTATAAGTGAGAATCCTTTGTTAGTAAATTAAACAATTTGATGTGAATTGATTTTGTCATTTTGCTGAGTCACAGTTTATAGTTTAAAGGTTATACACTATTTTGATGATATTCATAAACAAACAGTAACTCCCTTTTTGTTCCCCTCAATTCTAGATGCTCCTTGGTGTGGAGTCAAGAATACACATGCTGGATCAAAATTTATAAAAACCTCATTTCCCACCAAGAAGAAGTGGGAAAATGGGCATTGTTTAAAAGACAGGAATGAACCCTGCCATATAATGTAAGTATTTGGCTTACAAAGTCATAGTCGGACCCAATGCTGCCTAAAAACTGACCGGAAGGGACTACTACATATGCTGTAGGTTAGCTCCTCTTTTCAGATTCATTCTCAGAGCCCAAAGTGACTTTACTGCAGCTCTGAAGAATTCCTTTCCTCTGGTCACCTGTCGCGGGGTGGAAGCGCTCTGAAGTGCCTTCCCTGTTTCATTTCTGTGCTCATCCATCTTCCCTGTTGCTGTGTGTGGTAACCAGGACACCCTGGCAATCCTCGTACAGGAAGGCTATCTGTCTGCCTTTTAAATACTCTAACGTCTTGAGTAAAACTAAGAAATAACAATGACAAGTGATCAGATTTCTTTTCCAACCAAAATAAAGGACCAGACTTCATAAAATTTTATTACCTTAAAAAAAAAAAAAACAATAATTCTGGGTCTTTTTTTATTACAATGTAGATTACATAGAAGAGGAGTTATTAACCATGACTCAAGAACTAAAAAGAATGTTGTAACAGAAAAAATTGATAGAGTCATTTTAATGGGCACATATCCAATTTCTTGTTTGCACAAATTATTGTATCTGTCTAGTATGGTTTACCAGTTCCGAGAACTGCGCATATATATAACAAATCATCAAACTATTAGATTCTGGATTGTAAGCATTGCTCCATATGTGCCATCTATAACAGAATATCAGATAAACCGGATCTAAAATTCACTAGGCAGGAAAGTGAAGAATTTTCCTATAAAATTGTATTTGAAAGGATCTTTGCCTAATATTAGCATGCCAATAATGGCAAAGACTTGAGAACTAAAAATTTAAAACAGGGTAAAGAATAGATTTACATGCTGGTTAGTAAAGAATTGCTTATAACCTTTTTGAAACATAGATAGTTGGCAATTTAGTCAGGAGACTATTTCTGATGTAATGCTGATTACTAATCAGTAATTCCTATTTTCCCAAGTGATTTGCTCAACATTTTAGGTATTCATACAATGGTCTTCCCTCCCTATCAGATTATTAATTCTTGGAGATGTATTTTGAAGCCCCTGCCATGTTAGGAAAGGTACAAGTTGCCAAGGGAACTACCAGAAGAATCAGGACTATCCCTGCCCTCCTCCCTACACCAGGTCCCTCATGCCAGGTACTTCCGGTGAGGCTCTCAGGGAATCAGAGACCCCTCCCTCCTGGAGCACACAAACAGGTCACAGTCCCATGTAGCAGGATTTTTATAGAGGTATGACCGTAACTGTGACCACAAGGACATAGCAGCTATCTGCCTTGCAAAGCGCCAGGAGAGAACTTCTGCTAAGGTGACATTTCAGCTGTTTACAACAGAGCACAGCTGGGCATGGGGCCAAACACTGGGGACACTGGGAGCAGAGGCAGCCGGCAGAGAGAGGGTGGGACTGGGGAACAGTGTGCTTAGTGTGGCTCAAGCTAGGGTGCACAGTAAGTAGAAGGTAAGCCTCGGGTCGAGCGGGGCCAGACATGAGAGCTGAGTGCCTCCCTTGGGGTTTAGATTTTACCAGGACCCAAAGGGTTTGAAGCGGGAGAGTGCATTTTATTTTCTTGAAGCTGTGACACTTGGATGGCAAAACTCTCTGACTTCAAAAACTGTGCTGAGTGTAAGGTGCAACATTAAGCAAAAGCGACTAAATTATCAGGAACAGTAACCTTCAAATTGTTGTTTGTTTGTTTTTTTCCCAGAATGACTACAGCTTTCAACCACTGCAGATATGTGGAAATAGCTTAGAGTCAGAAGAGTTCAAACATCAGCATAAACTTTGTATTATCAAACACTCTAAAACAGAATGCTCTTCAGAAGTCAATAGACTTCTCATAAGCAGTTTCTAAATATGATTAAAGTCACTGTTACATAACCTTAACAAGGCTGTTGTGAATCTTAACCCTTAGCATTGGAAGCACTACTTAATTAAAATGTCTTCAATTCTAAAGAGTACGCAGAGGAAAATTATGCAATTTATTAAGAAAAACTTTTAACTATGAATTTAAATTTTCCTAAATTGGCTTATCATTTTTTTATTTTTAATATATTTTAGCTACAAGATAACAAAAACTTAGTAATCTACTTAATATCCATGTGAAGCCAAGGTTTCCATTCCATGTCGCTCACACAGAACATCAAATTCCATTTGATCTTAAATTTCCATCCCTGATTTCTTTAGGTGTTCACATTTAAGATGCCCATTATCAGAGCAGAAAGCCTAAGAATATTTCAATGCTTACTTCTGAATTCACAACTTTGTACTTCATGTATATAAAAATTCTATCCATTTTAATACTGCTAGGGCATACTATTGGCAGTGATGATCACTCTAGGCAGACAAACTCGGGCGTCTGCTATGGTCTCTCACAGGGAAAACCCACATACAAATAGCTTTCTCCCTACCACAGCAAAACCCTACCTATCCCGAATAAACCACATGGGGTGTTGTCCTGGGACGCTCATACAGCCCGTCCAACCCCAGCCCCATTTACATTGGGATTCTCTGTACACAAACACAGGTACAGAAAAGGAAACCAAAAATAACTGTGCTTATTAAGGACACTGTATGTTTCCTTCTCATTTGTGAAATATCCGTCATAACACACCAATGAGTCTGACTAAAGGACCGTTCCCACTGAGTGGACTCCAGGATTGTGGTGCAGAAGAGGACTCATGATCTACTGGCATCTGCTTCTTAACCCTTGTCAAGACAGTCCCACAGATTTGTGATTGTTGGTGGTAGACTGCCTTTTGCTATTGACATTGGTGAAAACTAATAAAATGTAAAGCTTTACACTTCTGAAACAGAATACACACTCAGAAATGTAACTGTTCATTTCTGGTTTTGCTTTGTTTCAGTCAAATACTGGAGATAATGGCGGCAGTAAGAGAAGAGGACCCCCTGGAATTAGCCAACACACTTTATAACAACACCATTAAAATGTTTTTTCCTGATATTTAATTGGCATATGTCTTATACATTCCATGATATTTGTAAAATTTCTTGGCAAAATGTAATGTCAGCTATAATAAAGAGATGCTCTGGAAGCTGTCTAAAGAGGTTTTACTGCACAACATCGTCCATCTTTATCCATAAAATCAGATCTTTTTTTTAAAAAATCACTCAGTTAAAACACTCAACTATTTTCATTTTGTAATCTCTTCAGAACTCTGAAAGGACAAATTTCTGTCAACACTGCCAACAGGATGGCTAACAAGTATGCTGGGTTTTTTTTGCTTGTTTCTTTGTCTGTTTTACACAGATATTAAACAATTAGCACACTCTGGTTCCTATCCAAGTTTAGTTGAGATAAGCCTATCTGTCAACTTTCACATAGTCTGCGTCATGACTTTTGAACCCAGCACAACTACATTGCTCCTCCCACTTCAAAAAATTGCTTCTAATACGCTAATCTTCTTCCCAGTTCTAAAACACTCTAACCTTTCTCCTCTGGTCCAGATTACTCATTTCCATGACTTTAGTGTGGCTTCCTACTGTGTGTTCTCATCCTCCCACAAATTTAAAGAAAAACTAGGGCCCACAGTTTGATTCTTAATATAGTTTCATTGAGGAATCTTTGGCACAGTTGACGCACTGTATGGTTTTTAATCTATTAAAAAGCTATTTGTTCAAATTTTGTCATAAAAATGTGAAAACATTTTATTCTATGTACAAATAATGTACACAAATTTAAATAGGTCACCAAAGAGACCAGAAGTAATTAAAGAGGTATATTTACAGTAGCACATCACAGTAAACAGAAAACTATTCACAGATTCAACATTGATACTGCTTTTGTGCTTGGTTACACACTGACGTGAGCCACAGTACTCCATTCTGGCTGAGCTGAATTTTAAAGAGATACCTCAGTGATTAGTAAATGCTGTTTTAATCAGTCAGTGTCGTCATTGAAGTCTTCAGCTGCTGTGCCCGTGGGGTTAATCACTCCATTCCTTTCTCTTTCCACGCCGTCGTCACAGTCTGTGCTGTCGTCCTCGCTCAGTTCCCTGTCAGATTCAGCAGCAGCTTCTCCTACAGCTTCCTCGGGATTTTGATTCTCGTTGGGTACAATAAATCCATTGTTGTTAGATACATTTGAATTATCCTTGATATCATCATCGATGTATACTTTCTGATGGCACATGGGGCAAGTGTCTTGAATGTACAGCCATTTCCGAAGGCAAAGTGCATGGAAATAATGATTACATGGTGTAATACGAGCAGATGTTGTAAATTCATGGTAGCAGATTGCACATACATCATCTATTTCTTGCAAGCGGCTCCCTTTTACTTCAGGAAGCGAGTTAATTTTCTTAACAGCAGTCCTACGATTCATGAATGTCTTCCAGCCATTTTTTGCTTGTAAGTAGATGTTAAAATACGTGTGTAGGCACATCATACAAGCTCGGATTTTACTTCCTGATTCAAACATCATAGTATAAGCTCCATTTCCAAACATTACTACTCCAAAAATAAATTCAATAATATTGCCAGTTGAACGAACGTAGTAGACATAATCATCAAGTTTTTCCCAGAGGACATTATAGTAGCCATCAATCATGAATAGCGTATAAACAGTGAGAGAAACAATTACTTTTAAGCAGAGTTCCACACAGAAGGCTGTGACAGCGAACAACCATGTATTGAGTGCATAGTGATGCCAAAGAACGTAACTGAGTAAGACGGGAAGGATAAACAGACAAGCAGAGACAAACAGCACAGGGAAATGTCGACGAAAAGATGACACATGAGAGGCACTCAGAGACATTAACACGGGGTCTGCCATCCCATGGATGAAATGCAGGACTGCAGTTAGTAAAAGGCACATGTTTCTACTTAAGCGAATAAGTCTTTCTTCTGGCCGTAGCCCACTCAGACCAGTCTGAAGAGCCAAAATAAAAAACAAAACAGGTGCTACAAAGCCAAGCCGCCTGTCGTCTTCTTCAGTTGATCCAATGAAAGCCAATATTCCAAGGCCCAAATAATGAGCTACTGAGGAGATGACGGCACTCATGCCCAGGACAGTCAGCGTTGAATCACATCCACTGATTATAAGATTACAGAGGAGGTCCCAGAAATCATCCCGAGAAAGAAAGAAGGACTCCGTTTCATTTGCCATCCTCAAAATGTATATTAACACTGTAGCCTGAACTGTAATCCTTGTCAGCCAGAAGACTCGAAGTATATCTGGGAAACGAATCCTCTTCCATGTGTCCTCCATCAATAACTGTAATCCATAAATTCGATACATGTGCCTCACTAAAAGAAAAACATATCGTGTGGAATAATAAAACCACTTCAGTCTCACTGCCAAGACAAGCACTGTATTTAATATGAGAATCAGGGAAGAAGTAAAAACTAAAGTCTCTCTGATATGCAATGGTAGCTCTGTGATTACGCCTATTATAGGGACCAAGATATCCAAAATAATTAACTGTGAGTGGATGGAATGAATCTGGAGTAGCGTGATGTATCCAATGCCAAAGGTCAGTTGGAGCAGGATGATAGCCATCCAGAGCGAGGGCCCCTTCCGGGGAAGCAGCTCAATTTCAAAGGCTGAAGCGTTGTAGGCCCCTTCATAGAAGTCAATGTGCAAGGCAGCATAGTAATTCACGAGCACTGCCGATGTAACCAATAAAAACGTGGAGCTGTACATGTAAAACTTGAAAAGCGATCGCTGTGACAAGATCAGCACAACACTGGATACAAAGATACCTACAAAGAAAAACATGAAAGTCATCTGAGTGAATGGCTTTCCATTAGTAGTCACATCTTTCATGATATACTTCCTTTAAGTAGGAAGCTGCCCAAAGGTATGAACAAAAGAGTTTCATAAAGTCAGAGTTCCAGAGGACAAACTAAACTGTTCTTTTTAAAATTTCAATCCTGGGCCTGGCAGCGTGGCCTTGCGGTTAAAGTCCTCGCCTTGAACGCCCCTGGATCCCATATGGGCGCCGGTTCTAATCCCGGCAGCTCCACTTCCCATCCAGCTCCCTGCTTGTGGCCTGGGAAAGCGGTCGAGGACAGCCCAAAGCTTTGGGACCCTGCACCTATGTGGGAGACCCTGAAGAGGTTCCTAGTTCCCGGCATCGGATCGGCACAGCACCGGCCGTTGTGCTCACATGGGGAGTGAATCATTGGACGGAAGATCTTCCTCTCTGTCTCTCCTCCTCTCTGTATATCTGACTTTGTAATAAAATAAATAAATCTTTAAAAAAATAAATAAATAAAATAAAATTTCAATCCTTATTTTCTAATTTCCAAAGCAATTAACACTGTATGGCTAGGCACTTAATCACTAAATTATCTTCAAGACAAACTGGTAATTACACATCCATTCTCATACTCAAAAAAGTCTATTGTAATCCTGTAATCATTTAAAATCCCATCAAAAATCATTAAGAATTGAAAACTCAAATGGAAAACATCTGCTCTTATTGTTTATGAAATAAAGCTTAAGTGTTTTAATTTATTTTAATTATATTTGAACCAATAGAGATCGTGCATCTGATGGTTCACTTTCTGAATGCCCATAAAAGCCAGAGCAGGGCCACCGTGAAGACAGGAGCTGGGAACTGAATCAGGGCCTTCTACGCGGGTGAATGGACCAAGTACTTGAGTCATGTGCTTCCTGCGAGGGTCTGCACTAGCAGGAAGCTAGATTGGAAGCAGCGGAGCTTGGACTTAAGTCAAGTACTCCATTAGAGATGTGGATATTCCAAGAAACTTTTTAACTACTGTACCAAACTCCCACTTAAAAGTTTTATAATCCCAGATAATTCACAATTTTTCCTTTTCTTCAACCTGTCAACTTGCACCAGGCTCTTACTTTTTTCTGCCCCTTAAATTCGAGAACTCTCTGTATGTCCAAGTTTAGCTATTTTTCTCTCCCTACAACCTTGCTTCAGATTTCAGAAATGCTCTTGAAGTTCCCTGGGTCTGTCTTCTTCAAGTAATTAACTCTTCTTATTGTTCACCAAATCACAAAAACAATGTCCAGAAAACTCAAACATGCTAAAAAAAAAAAACTGGTAATAGATTCCTCCCTCCTCTACTCCAGCCCTAACCAATGTCAAAGACATAGATCCAGACTGGCTTTTGTTTGTTGCTCTGACAGAACATCAACTAGTTTAAGTGTGAGATTATAAGCACATTAATGTCCAATGATCAACTACAGCAGTGACTTCCAAATGGCAAAGCTCAAAAGTTCTAGAGGCCAAGTTGTCTTAAACCAGAACCAGTGCTTCTTAGTGATTTTTCAATTTCATAGGGATAAGTACCGTTAGCTCTTAAGGGTTCTCCTAACTTTTTGCCAATTAATTGCCAAGTTCTAACACATATATCTCCCTTTTCTTAGTGGCACCAATCAATTTCTATCTAAAAGTTCTTATCCAAATATACTTTGAAGCCACACTGCCTTTTTTCATTCTTCTGCTCAAAATACATACCGTATATGCTCTGAAATAACCATCAGATACAACTCACTTCCTTGTCCTGGCACTAACAGATCCAGTTTACTTCAGAGTAATACATACCAACAACGTGCCAGCCTTTGTCTTCCAGACATATTCCCCACGCTAAGTCACTCTACATTGCTATTTTCTTTTCTTGGAAGGCGGCCCCACCTACTTGAAATGCTTGAGTGTCCATCACAGTGACCGGCTCTGTGGACCAGCTGTTGCTTCAGCATATCTCCAGAACAAGGCACTTGCCAAGCACTGCCTGACATTGCAGTGTGTGGGTTATCTGAGTAGACACCTTCCACCCTGTTACACAGCATGTCTCTGACAGCAAGCAAGGATTCTACCTTGAATATCAACAGATCCCTTAAGGTAACTAACAACTGGTATTCACTGGGAAAAGAAAATGTTTCTGTCACAATAATCAACAGACAGCCTGCTTGAAAAATGAAAAGCGAAAGACAATGCCAAGCACAGAAAAAGTGACCAACTTCAAATTAAACAAGAAATTTAATCAAGAAAGAGATGTTTTCAGTGGAGGCATAGTTAATTTAACTGATAATTTTGCCCATGGACTTAATTGATCCTGCAGGCCTGGA